TTGGCTACTTCAAAAGCAGCATCACTAATCGGCCAGATAAGATATTATTGGATTTGAAATTTCATGGCCTAAAAATATCAAAATAATCAATTTTTTCAAGACAAAAATATCCCTTTCCCAAGTAAACAATTTCAAAACGACTTGATTTTCTAGAAGCGGGAATGTGTATGAACACGTTTTCTATAAAATATATTGACATTTTTACAGCCATTAAAGCCATACTACTTAGGAGGTCATCGTAAATGATAGAAAAGAGACTTATTCGAAAATCGTTATGCTGTTTTACTTGACATTTTTTCTGATTATGCTGCGCGTCAAGCAAGATTACAATCCCGTCTGAGTATCCTTTTCTAGAAGAAAAACACATTTCAGCATTTCGATTAGCAGGCCAAATATGGTATGTGCACCCATAGTTTCGTCTGTTTACGAATCTTTGCTACGCGGACACAGTAAAGTTCGGACTACATGAACCTTAAATTAGTGACAGATTGTGAGCTCCCGGGCACAGCGGGACATAAAATATTCCTTAATCAGAGCGGTGGACTTCCTTACATTCAGCATATTCCCTATCGCAACCGAAAAAGCAACGACATCTTGACGCAATGGTAGTGTGAAGTGCTACATGACCAAAGTCCTAGGTTCGAAACTCGGGTGATCCAAACCGAAGAGTGGGAGTGAGTGGCTGATAACGGCTAATAGTCCAGAAATTGCCATTCCTATCGTCCTTGTCTTTGTTCATTGCACTTCAGTGGCAGGTGTATTTAAAATTTAAAAGGCATATCCACATTCATTAGCCTTTAGATGACAATAGTAATCTCTCAATTTACTTGGAAAACTATAGCGTTGTGCAAATGGCCACAAAAGAAGTAAGTTAAATTACTTAATCAACGATGCAAGCAAAAAAGTCTTGATTTAAAACCTTCACTGGAATATATATTCGGATACACAGCAACGCCTTATAGTTATGTGGCGAGGCCTACCTTTGTTCTGCAAGTAAAGCTTTCATCTGTGTATTGGTTTGCAGCAATTCCTCCTTACTGTGGAGCAGTTCCTGTGTTATTTGATTCACTTCGTCTTCGCGTTGCTTAAAAAAGAACGAGGGGGGATTACGAGGTATGTTTGGGTGTAGGACGCATGGGGTTTCCAGTTTGTAAGGAAACTCACCTTCACAAGGGCTTCCAACTGTTGATTTTTCGCTTTACTGTCATCAAGCTTGTTCTGAAATAGCCCAGAAAAAAGACAAAGTTTGTTGAGCAAACTAACTTACAGCTTTATTCGTCAGAATTGAGAGAATAGCGGAGAAGTTGTCATAATCTGATACTGGATTCGAAAATGACTCCAAAATTATGTGCGAATAAATTTCTTCTTTCGACAATCGTGTATTCGTCTTCAAAACTTCATCAAAGTGCATCTCCAGTCAGATAAAATGCTCAAGCAGGACATTATTACAAAGAAAGGGGAGAGAGTGTAACTGATTAGTAGGAATACACCTCAATGGCAAACCAGCAAATTTCTCTCTAAACTGTGCATGACGTGTCTGTAACCACCACATCGCGTTAACACTCGTCGTCCAGAAGGCCACTTGCTGGCAACATGACTTGATCCTCCTGCAGAACCAATATTAGATGCACATGGTTCCCTCTCAAGGAGGCATTATCAATTACGCTAGATCTGAGACCTACCCATAAATAGAGCCTAGGAGGCTTTGAGACAGTAACCAGATGGACTGTGTGCATGGCTTGTTTAGCTCTCGCGGTCACTGAACCTACCTCCTGCCACCAAAATTTAGCTAGTGTACTAAGAGAGAGTGCGGCAAATACAGCACAATCCCGCTTTAACAGGAAAAGAGTCATGCGCAAACCACCAATGTGAATACTTTGTGAGGCAATGGGAGACTTCACTGATAGTCACAGCCTGTATATTGACTCCTGTTACTGATGCAAATATATTATATATGACAGAAGAACGCATGAGTATACTTAGAACCCCTGTTGATTAAATCTCTTTTGACTTTCGTGTCAAAGTCCTTATTGTTGGTTTGGTTGTTGAGAGAGTTAGTCTGCGGCCACTTACATACTATCTCTAGCATCGGATACAGCATCTGTTCAACCCTAACAAGACAAAAGGATCGCCGATAGAAGCGAATATGTGAGCTCAGGGAAACAGTTCAGAAGAAGAGGATGCGATCACTGGAAAAATAACTTTATTTTCCTGACATTTTAGATTCTGTCAAGAATCCTTAATCATAGGTAACCGTAGGATAATGTGAGACCTGCGCAAATTGGGGTGATACATACATAGATTGCACGGTATTTATAGTTCGTAGTGGCCATCCGCATGCGTACTATAATTATCAGCTCCTGTAACCACCGCTTGGGGTCTAAATTGGTGCGGTGGGAAAGGCCGGGTACAACAACCACTCTGACGACAGTGAGCATAAGTATCGCGCAATTATTAAGCCCGCATCCGACACGGACAACGAAATCGCGGCAATTAATGAGTCGAAAACAAAGTGTTAAGCCATCACCGCATCAAATAAGAGACCCCAAGCGCTAGTTACAGGAGCTGATAATTATAGTACGCATACGGATGACCGCTACGGATTATAAATGCCGTGCATGCATCACCCCAGTCTGCGCATATGTCTCACACCATCCTAGGGTTAACTATGATTAAGGATCCTCCATAAAATCCGAAAGGTCAGGAAAATACAATTCTTGTTCCAGTGATCGCATCTTCTTCTTCTGCATCGGTCTACTTGCACAATTTCAATAAATCACCAGATGGCGAACGATTCTGCATCATCAAGGCAATTATTAGCGTTCTAGATTGAGGAATATCAACTTTAGAGACAATGTGCTTCGGCTGACGTGGGTGAAATATAGTTTAAAAAAACAAGGTCCGTGTGATTGCAGGTAAGAATGAAAAACGCGAAGAAAAAGCAAACCCTTTTGTGCAAAATGCTTTGCTGCAGTTGCTCGTTGTTTGCCTGTAGTTGCTGTATATAGTCTTCTAAATTGTGGTGTTCAGCAACATTGCAGCACAGATTCCCTGTCTGCATTATACGAGCCACCTCAGTGACGTCACTTGAGCCGTAGACGCGGTGGGCCGTGGCACCAGCTGCAATTAAAGATGTGTTATCATAAACTGAAAATAAGTAATTAGAGCAAATTAATTTTCGAAAAGCCAGCACGACGCACAACAGCATAGCAAATTTTCCACAGCACTTTCCACTGAGATAAACTAATAATTATGCAGATAAAGGGCACAGCGAGCCATAGCGATACAGACATCATAAAGTAACTGGAGTAGAGAAATATACAAGGTGTCCCAAAAAAATGTATACACATTTTAAATAATTGTAAACTTGGTGTTTATTATAATTTTATTATTTCAAAAAACGACAAAATAATATTTATAAGTATGATTTTATTGTTTTTTCACTGCATTTGGACTATTGCAACAGTGGTTGAATTAAAAGAAGCCTCTGAAAATGAATACACCCGAATACCAAGGGCATTGTTTCATGGTATGTATGATTCCATTGCTTCGCGTTGTCAGCAGTGTTATGATCAAAATGAAAGTCAGTTTGAGAACATTAAGTGAAAAAAACAATAAAATTATACTTGTGAATATTATTTTGTCGCTTTTGAAATAATAAAATTATAATAAACACCAAGTTTACAATTATTTAAAATGTGTATACATTTTTTACATTTGTTTCATAGTAAAATTATGATAAACACCAATTTTAAAATTAGGTAAAAAGTGTATACATTTTTTTGGGACACGCTGTATATCTAATTCGGGTGTTGCTCTGCGGCCAAAGCTCGACATCAGAAAATACGTAAATAATCGTGACAGCAGGAAAAATTCAATTAGGCTAAAAGTTTATGGAAGATATGCAGCAAGCACTTTCTTCGCGACTTGAGAAAATCTACCTTAATTAGTCATCATCCTACCGTTGTCCCGCAGGAAGCGAAAGCTTCAGTTATTAAGAGCAGCCTTTTTTGTTACCCCTCCCGAAATCTGCACAATATTTAGAAGTGAACTGATTCTTTTTCGCTGGGCTGCCTTTACAGCCGGTTGGAAGAATTTTAAAATGATAAATACAGATACGATATACCATGAGGAAGATACTTCATTTATGTCATCAACAAAAATATCCAAAACACGACTACACGTTATCCATTTGTCTGCGTTGTACAGTTGCACATTTCCGCAATGGTATGAAGATTTCTGATTGCCTTAGCCGAAATATTTTATCCCAAAAAGCCATGCCATAGGGACGAATCTCAACATATGCGTAAGAGAGAGATGCCAAATACAATGATCTGATCGGATGCCGACCCATATATGCGATAATTGACGTCGAGTCCCAAGCGTTCAGCGACATTTTACTTTGTAGCAAGGTTTATCATGTTGCATACGCATGTTTAAATATTGTTCGTGGGTAACAAACAACAAAAATGCGAGGTAACTAAGATTATTTCGCTTCTAAAGAAACTAGGCAGAGTCAGGTAAAGAAAACGACAAAACGCGGCGGTTTCCTATAAAGTCAAGTCACGTTTATTAAAGGAAATATAGGCAAACGCCATTGAACTCCCTATTGGTACATAGTATTTAAGAAATGCATCGGCACAGCCGAACATTTCAAAGAAGTCCTTTACACAAT